ATATAGAATCGGTTCCTGTCCGTTTGCATTATCTGCTTCACGGTACACGGCACGCTCTTCAAGAATAAATGAACGTCTAGTAAACAGAAGATATTTCACGAATGTAGGACAGGTTGTTCGCGTGAACCTAGAGAAATACGGACGGCGCCTTTGGCACGTTTCTTCGCGAGTTTCTTTCTTCGAGGCCAACTAAATATTTCATCATGATTTTAATATGCCACCTTTAAGAACATCACCGCAAAAATACGGGAAATGCTTCGGAAAATATTGAAGCATCCGAGACGACACCGCGCGTTCCCCATTAAACGCCATGAACAGCGCGCGGTAGAGTTAGAAAAACACGATCGAACGCAGACGGCGATCGAAGTTACATACGTCGATGGTAGAAAACGTATATTTTTAATTGAAAAAATAAAAAAGCAACGACACGACCGCGCACTTTCTACTATTTTAATGCTTTCGCGGACAAGTTAATGGATCCTTGAGCGAATAGACAGCAAAATGTGAAACGTCTACGTCGAGTAAAAAGGTGGTTGCAGCTGTAATTTTCAGATGCATTACAGGTGAATAAAAAAAAGATATGTTCAGCCTGAGACACAGTTTCCATTAAGCAACCTTTCCACCTTCAGCAATATTTTCTATTCCCACTTAGGAAACAGCTACAAGCCGTCCTAGTTTCTATAGCGATGCCCTATATATATGGGGTATGCCAAAATATTTACGGGCCAGATATTACGCGTCAAATAAAATAATCTATGGGACCTGGCTGTAATTGCTCTTATGGGAATTTATCTTGCAAGAATTATTTTCATAATTGCTCAATGTTTATCTGCGCAGTTTGTTATTAATAGATTGCGGGTCTTTGTGCACGATAAAAATTGTTTACGTCAATTGTGAGACACTGGAAGCACGTAGAAAATTTCCTTTTCTTTATTTAAGCATGCTAGATCCATACGGGTTTATTTAGCTACATTTTACAAACACGGAGAAAAGAATACACATTCGTATGAAAGTAATATATTACAATAAATACTATTTAAATCCTTCCTTAATAATTTTAAGAAGTTGGGAGTAACGTATCGCGGTATTCTTAAGTTCTTTCATTTTTCTACCACTTGAAATTTCATTCACCCATTTTCGTCGTAAACGCGCCAAATCTGCGATAATACTTAACTGTTACGATAATACTTAATGGTTTTAATGTGCGACTTCTTTGTCGGCTGAGAGCAAGCAGAATTGTTACAATAGAGGGTGTCCACGGTCTCGTTAGAACGGTAGTTCTGCGTAAAACGGTGATCGAAAAGTAAAATAAAATGGTTTTTACGTAATGCCACGTTTACGAGGAAATCACTGTTGAAATTTGAACTGGACATTTCAGCTGGCATGTCGAGTGAATAGAAGGGATAAGCGTTGAACAAACACTCGAATCTAGTGCTATTCAGGGGTGTGTATTCCCATGAAATTCAAATTCAATTACTTCGAAAACAGAGTCAGCTGTACTGTACATTTTTTGTTCATTTACATAGAACGCTGTACGCGTGTTGCGAATGAAATATACATATGTAGCAGTACTCGCGAATTATTTGTTTTTCATAAATTTCGGTACGAAAATATATTGCACACTATACATTCGATTTTAGAATCGAACGTTTCAGATCAATTGAACATTTGTGACAGCCTAATATAACGTCACACAGCTGCAGCCCTGTATTCGCATCCATTTCAAACTATCCAACGCGGTTTATATGATGTCTGAGTAAATTGAATACGGGGAATTGCGTGGCCTGCTTTGCACGTGATCCTCACAAAGAACATTAGCTAGCTCGTATACGCCGATTGCAACGAAACTTTGCATGCAAATAGTACATCGCAAATATAAACAAGTCGTATCTACTTTCTGCATATATTCATATCTTGAAGATCGAAATGATAATAAGTATTCTCTTTAACGGTACTAAAAATGTAAATTGGCTTATTCTAAAAAACCTTCTTCCGTAGAATCGTACGAAGATAATAGTAACAATAATAAGAATCCATAGAATGGTGCGAACTTTTATTAATGTAATTAGAATCGATCGATAGTAAGCGAAGACACGGTTGTAAACAAATATGCACTTACCAACAAAAGTTACGAAAAAGAAGAAAGTATTTCTGAGAAATGAGAAGTTGCTGAGGTCGTTTGAAATAACTTTTTCCTTAGCTAAAATGCAATCCTCGGCTTTTTGTTTATGAGTTATTAACGATAAATAGCGACCAATGAGAGGCGAGCTCAGCTGGCGCGAGGTGGCCGAGCCAATGTGCGGAACTGGACCTCCTCCGCTCGTTGGCTCGGCCGTCTTGTGCCAGTCGAGCTCGATTATTATTGGTCGGTGTTTATTTTTAATAATAAAGTTACTTACATTCATAATGTTGGATAACGCATAAAAGTTATTTTTTCTGAATCTCTGCATTTTAAAAAATTTCCTTTAAACTTGAACGAATTTGTGCGAATAAAACTGAATTTTCTATCGACAATTTTGTCCTCTTAAATTTTTGAAATAACTGTTATTTTTGGTCTCTGGTTTCGACCGTAGAACGAAGTACGAATTCCAATATATCGATTCGAATAAAGCAACAACGTTTTGAAGCGTTCAGAACGGCAGCCGACATTTAAATCCTGAGCGCCTTGGAGCGTTGGATACGGCAAAGGGTTAAACCGAGGTAAAATATTTCGAAAGCCAATTTATACTGCACCAGAGAAACTGGATCAAAATACTGAAGTCTCGGCATAGAGCCGACGGTCGCGAAGCGCAGAAGGTTCAGCGAATTCAGAAAATTCGCGCGTTACTCTCCCCCGAATCGTACGTGCAGATTTTTAATTATGGTGTCGGCGTCAAACACTATTTTAATGCAAATTTGGCGTAGTTTTTGGAGCGTGACCGAGACGCTAAACGGCTCTCGGGGGTGATTTATAACTGGAATATACGCGGCACCGTTAAGGGTCAAGTGCTTTCAACCGGGTATGTGTGTAGCTACTTCCGCTCATTCGAGTGTGATGTACAGAAGCGATGTACCATAATTCGACGATTTAACGAGTTCATTCGCGAGTCACGCCCGTAGCAACCATTCGCGATTAAGAGGACTCCGACTGAAAGCTACCGGAGGACCGTTTCGTGATTATCCTTCGTTACGCGTTTCGAGCGACGAATTCCTGGGGCCGCCGCGTCGTTTTGACTTTTCTCGTTTATTTCGTACGATCCGCTTGCCGTTTCGTTAGGATTGCTCGCGCGCATGATTCGAATTTTTGCCTCGCATTCACGGGAAAGCTTCGAGCAGCCCCTGTTGTTTTTTGACGAGGAATTCCAACTTCTGAAAATCGTGCAGCCTCCATCGAACGGCACGACGTGCAAAATGCATGACCGGGTTTGGATATTTTTTGGGCACGTACATTTTGTAGTGTTTTAATCGAGTAACTTGGTTGCCGAGGTAAATTATATTTTTAAATACTACGGCTGGCAAAAAGTATTCGAATACCTTTTGAAACGCAATAACTTTTTTTAAAACTAAAAAGATAGCAAAATTAAAGAGAACGTATTTTAGTCGTTAGCCGTTTTAACATTTAAAAAAAATCGATAAAAAAAAGATCGGTCAGTTATTGCGCGTTTTGAAAGCTGTTTGAATACTTTTCACGAGGGGTGTAGCAACCTCTAGAGAAAGAAATTGCTCTCAATGTTGGATAACTTATTAAGAAATGCTCAGTTCCCAATGCTACTTTTATATAGAATGCAAAATTAATGGCATGGTTGTGTTATCAACGTTTGCGGTCATTGTAGTAGACAGGTATACGATGACATGGACAGCCGTGATGTACGAATCATGTTGAAAATCATATTTTCTGACTCAATTTTGTACGTATAATTAATAATGTTTAATTTTCTAGCGTGCACTTCGAGATTTATGATCCTAACGAGCTCGAAATAAAACGAAAATCGAGAACAATAGAATCGCGCGGTTCAGTTTTCGTGGAGAGTAAATCGATATTGCAAATTTTATTACAGGCCGCGACTGCGATTACTTTTTACATTTCGGAACATATTTTGTCCATTCATATGATTATTCTAGTTTTGGTATTAAACATCCTTGATAGATCACAGGGAATATCAGCCGGATGTGTATGCTTCGTTATAACGTATATCTAGCTATTCCTCACTTTGAAAGGGTGCAAATAGCTCACGAAGATAGGGATGAAAAATATGCACGGTCACGTATCTCAGAAATTATTGATCATAGCAAAGGATGTTGTGCGAAGAGAAGGTGCGTTTTCAATGTAGAATTTATATTTCTGAGAATCTTTGGAAACAGATTATTTACGGAGAACATAATTTATAAAGTTACAAAATAATATCAACTTTTACTGCTATGTATACATATTTTGTACGCGTAAACTGTAGATTGCGAGAATACCGATAAACCGGAATTTTGTACGTCTATCTTGTAAGAAGCGGTCATATTTGTTGACGATTCCGTCGCTATCGAAATAATTAATAATTCAAGATATTTAATAAAACGTGCCTTCTTTCCAACGTTGAAGTAAACGTTCTTTATACGTTGCAAAGCGTAATTCAACATGTTCTAACGATAAATTCATCGAATCTCCAAAATCATTTCAGCAAGATAATTGGAACGCGCGATTCGTTTTAGCGTGACAAAATTACGGTGGAATTTCATCCGAGAGACGAACAATCGTAATTAGAAGCAAGAACAGCAACAATTTCACCCGTCGTCTAAAACGCGCAATCCTGTACGCGGCTATCCGCGGGGCGAATCAATGAAAATCATTCGCGAGTTAATACTATTCTATTATGCGGGCCGTATTAATGCCGCGCGAAGCTCTAAGGGGATTACCGTGAAATTGGAAGAAATCTCGCGCGCGTTACCCAGCGTAACACCGAGTATCTTGTTACCCGAGGCTTCAACCGTCGACAAAACGCGGAACGTGTAAACAGGAAATTATGCCACACCTGTGCGTCGCGTGATCGATGCACGATCACCGGTGGAGAACTTGTTGCGAGACCGATGGAACGTTTCCTCCAGCCCTCGATATAACGAGTACACGATTCTCGTACGGACGTCCGGTGAATAGCGGCCATGAGAAGCTGCGCGACGTAGCCGGGAAGAACTATCTTGGCAGTGGTATCGGGGGACAGCGCTATTATCGCGAGCCACCCGACAGATCCTTTTCCCCGTAACGTTTAGGCGGTGCGTGTGCCAAGGTTAGCGACGATCCTCCGAACGGTGCTCTGCTTGCCGTGGAATCAGGTCATTCGCGATCGAAACACCGAACGATCCACGCTCACCGAGCATCGGTCGAGTCTATGTAAACACTGGCCAGTCTTTTCGTGGCTGACTAATCGCGGCTGAACGGGCGACCGAGTCCACCATTCCTACCCGGAGGCAACAATCGAAAGAGTCCATCGATCTAGCGAATCTCGCCGAGGGCGGCGATTCGCTTTCGTGCCAAGACGAGCCTGACAATCGACGATCATTTTCGCTGATCGGAGCGAGTCTAAATCGAGTCCTTCATCCGTCCCGTCAGCTATTTATCGGTTCGGTATTAGTTCGCTATCAGCTCGCGCATCCGACGAACATTGCTGGCCGAGATTCCCGGAGCGACGCGTGTCCCAACGGTCCGGCGTCGATCACCGCACACCGACTAGTCGAACCGTCCGCGAGAAACCGGGGCTCGTATCGGATAGGCAGTTGCACGAGGAACGGAGCTCCCCTTGTCGCCTCGGAATATCGCTGACTACGGTACACTCTGCTCTCTCTCTCTCTCTCTCTCTCTCGCTCTCTCTTTCTCTCCGTCTCTCGCCCCTTCTTCCGCAGCTCCACGGAACTCCCGGTCACGTGACCGGGAAAGTTTCACTGGCGCAGAGAAACCGAAGGACTTCCTCCTCCGAACCGGTGGTTCCGGTTGGCCAGCAGGTTCCGGTTGATCCGGCGAGTCAGCGGACGGATCAGCGACACGAGAACGCGGGATCAGGTCGAACAGCTGTTCCGAATGCACTTCCAGCGGCGGTGGTGAACGCGCGATCAGATCCCAGCCAGTGCGCCCGGTCGTGCACTCTCACTTTTTCGTTGGTCCGCCGCGTCCACCGACTGCGGGAGCCCGCACGTGCGGCCACGGGGATGTCTGTTGGGGACCGCGGTACCCCGTGTGACACGTGTCACTCGGATCCAGCGGAGAAAAAGGGGAACACGGTAGGAAGAGGGTGGCGGAGGGTAGACGGAGAGGAGGAGGAGGAGGATCGAGCGCGGATAGAGATTGAAGGAACCGAGACGCGTGAAACGAAGGGAATGACAGCGGGGGAGAATGGGACAGCGATGGAGAGGAAAAAAAGACGGCCGCCACCCCTGTAGCCTTCGATTTTCAGGAGGAAAGTGAAGGCTGCAGACACCGCCCAGCTAGCCGCCCGGGTGTGCCAACGCGAAAAACCACCCCCGTGGTGTGCACCACAACGGATGTCCCGAATTCTGGCAGTGCCCATGCGCATGGTAACCTTGGTTACCGCGCCCAAGCGCGCCAACTGATGCTCTAGCGGTGCCCGACGATACTACCACCCTTCTAAACGTTCGAGCGTGTCGGTGTACGTGGGTGGTCCGGTCTTCCCATGGGTGACACGGTTACCCTCGCGTTCAGCTCCTATGGGGCTACTCCGCTGGTTATTTTCTCAGCGGGACGTGGCAGAGAGGTTCTCGCCCGTTCGATGAGTCAGAAATACTGAATTAACGGGTCCGGCGAGCATTGGGAGGGGGCGCGCGACGATTAAGGGTAGGATGGCGCACGTGACCGTAGGAGAAGCTGATTTTCTTCGAAAGTTAAGTCGAAGGAAGTTGGTCTTGGAGAGATTGCGAGGATCGCTTGGTTCGACTTCGCTCGAGTGGGTCGCGGATAGGGTTGGGTTTCGCGGAGCCAACGTTGCGGCAAATGCTACGATTTATTTGTGCTCGTTTGTATAATATGTAATGCTGGCTCGATGGGGAATAAACGATCCTGCTCGACGATGTTTCGCGGCTACGCGGAATAATTTCCGTGTACGTACAAGTCTTTCTGGTTGCTTTTTAGAGCGAAGAATTTCTTGGATTTCAAATGAATTTCGTCGAGCGGTATTCAAATCCGATTACATCGATTAACCTAATTATGGGAATTCTGCGGATGTAAATGTAAATTCGCAGTTAAATTACTATATTCGTATAAAACAGATGTGCGCTGGAATTTCATTACATCGTTGCACCGCATTCGAAGCACGGACAATATGGAACATTCGGTTATGTGCAATTATCTATTTCAGTCCCGTCGCTTAACGTCTGTTTAACCTATTAACCGGATGCGACGGAATATTTCGTCGTACCAGGAAAACAACTCCAATGGATATAACGACCTTTTTCGTGGTGGAAACTTTTAAAAGTAATATGTGTAGCGCGTTACGCTTCGCGTCGTTCTTACCCATTAAAACCTAGCCAGACCATGTGGTAACACTTCGATTTTGCACAGTTTAGTTTCAAATCCCACTGGAACGTTTTTTTTTATGTGTAGTAGACTATAAGATATACATGTATACAAATGTACATTTCACAGCGATGCAAGGGTCTTTGAAAATATTTGATTTATACATCTTCTAAATATGTCGTGAAATATTTCGTCGAAATAAGTAATTTAACAAGTGAGAAGAGCGATTTTCTGTTACCACTTTAAGCGTGATCATATAACTTCCGACTGCGAAGAAAAAAGTCCTCGTTGTGAAACGAGTTGAACAAAAGTTAATTACCCGGTCACAGTTTAATTGCTGCCTTTTCTTTACCCAGATTTTCCGACAAGCTGACACCTTTGTTAACAAATTTCGATGGTATCGACGCGTGCGTAAATAAATTGAACTACCTTAATGATCGGCTGTGGATCGATTATTCATGTATGAAGGTTAACTAACCATCGATCGACGCTACACTTGACATGACAATTAAAGAGCTCGAAGCATCGTAGGGTAGTAGAATCGGTTACTGTGGAGGGGCCAATTTTTACATTTTTGGTTTCTTTTCGAATGTAACGAACCTTCCGAAAGATATTAACTTTATATATCCATTTAATCAACAATAAATAAAATAATAAAATAAGCAACTTTAGTATCTGTTATTCGATAATTATAGTTAATTATTATTTTAGGTTGACCTACGATTTTTGTGTACTCGTCTTTTAGGGGATGCTGAGACGAATTCGGCAAGCACCATACTGGACAACATTTTGAACGTTTCTTGTATTAAAAATCGATTAAACAATATGTCGATAAATATTAATTTCTGAGACATTCGACATTCGAATGACACGATCAAATGTTGCACATTATAGTTAAAAAATTCAAGGTAACCATCATATTTATCGAAAAGAAAAGGAGCAAATAACATTTCGTTTACAAGAAAAATCAAGATGAAAGAGTTAAATAACCGACTCTCTGTATATCGAGTCAAATAATATTTGCCTGGAGTAATATGAATAGACGTTTAACGAGCACTGGTAGAATTAGCAAATCTATGAACCGATGGTGTATAATTAGAAATAAAAGATCGCGCAGGTTATTCAGCTCGAACCGAAGCGAATGAGAACATGGTGGATGGTTGTATATTGGAATAATCACCTGCACATTTAATAAGACCATTGCTATCGCTTCTACGTGGCTTTACGATACGTAAATTGGTACAGTACACGGCGAACTGAGTTAGGAGCTACAGACATTAACGGCTACAAACAAATTTGGCTAATTGCTTCTGACCACCACGTGGTTACAAATGGAATGTTTAAACCGCGTATTTTAATCTCTCGATAGCCGATGATATGATAACAGACCGCTCGACAAACACAAGACCCATTCTAATTTGCAACGATCATTTCACATTTATCGAATATCAATGTTTAATACATTTGTGTTTAATAAATTGTGTTGACGTTTAATACAGGGTGGTGAACACACACACAAAAATATGTTACATTCTAAACTATAAACTTTTTTTAACTTTGAATTGTAAGCGATAAAAATATACATAGTGTGATAATCGTACGCAATCATAATCATAATCACATGGTTTTCTCGAGTCTTGAAACGAAACAATGTGTTTAAGGTGACTAAACGTTTTGCTTTTAGCGTTTCTGTGTGTCGTATAATTACACGTTAACAATAAACACGGTATCCTCAATTTTTTACCGCACACTGTCACCTAATATTGTCGTGAGGAAGCAGCCTCTTCAATTTTCACCCACCTGTTGCCGAACACACTGTGTCCGAATGAACCCTGAGTCACCGAGATCTATAAAACGAATTTTTTAAATTTTTGTTGAAAGCTCAAATAAAAACATTTAAAAAACATAATTTTTTCATTTTGTTATTATTCCAATCGATTGCTATCTAAAAAAGAACACTTCTATGTTCATTCTCAAGAAAACTAGTCGGTCTAAGAGCTCAAAAAATTTCAAGTAATTTGGACCAATATTGAAGAAGTTGTTCCGTTTGAAAAGGTTTAAACTTACTTCTCGACACGAGTACATTTCGTATTACTATTTCCTATCAGACTGCACACTATTTTCACATCTGCATATTATATGAATCTACCCAGTTATATAAACTGATTGTCTCCCGCCGAGTTCATACGAACGAAGTTCCACTGTACAATTGTTCGGCTCCAAAGAATATTTGACTACGCAAAGAGCGAAGATTAAGACACGATCGAGAACTAATTAAGAATGAAAGACGGATAAACGTGCAACCATGGGCAATCTTGCTAATCGCTTAGTTGATCCGATGAAACACGTGTTACGTGGCATAGCGCGGATGCCTTATCAAGTTTAACGGAGCCTTCTTGGAACGCGCTTTTACTTTCATTATGGATTACCCAGATGTAGGATCGATCGCGGTTGACTGCTCCACGATTAAGTATTCATTTGGGAGCATTTAATTATGCCGAACGACATTCCAAGCGGCATCGGTAATTGCGCGGTATCTAGCATGCGAGCCTGCTTAAGCGGGTGGCAGAGATGCCAGAATGTTCCGGAAATTACTTATGCATCGCGGCGTTTCCATCGCTTGCCATAACGAGGGTGACCCATGCGGGTGACAGCAGCCCTCGCCGTTGCGGCTCACCCTGTTCCCCCGCGTAAGTGCAGAAACGTTTTCACGTTGATGCAGCGCGCGGTTGATCTCGGCGGTGGGTAAGGATCAAGAGCTCCGCTCTGCCGTAGTCTTTATTGTGTCAGGGTTCCGGCTGATTTGGCACGGTGAAAGCGAACGCACTGACGCTTCGCCTTTTCAACTACATTTCTTTTTTCTTGCGGAAAACAAGATAGGGGAAAGTGGCCAAATATGTAATACGGTGGCATATTTACGCTTCTGTTTAAAACGCGGTATCGGTTTCCCAAGATTTGTTAAGTGGAGAACCACAATGATAGAATCAAGCCTTTACGTACATATTGTATACATTGTGCCGATTACTGCAAAAGAAATATTATAAATTATGAACAAATAATTATATTTGAAATATTCTGTAATTCAAGATAGGAAATACGGTTTGAAATACATTATTTTACTTTACTTTCTGACTTCAGGTAGTATTTTCTAACTTATGTCTCTTGATCCTGAAGCTGTTGTAATTTACTGACACTATAAACCAGTTGCCGATAGGTCGGTCTCATAAAAAAATGTATAGACAATGTACATACATATGTTTTGCTTCTGCAGAATGTCCGTTTTATTGAGCTGTATCTTCGAAAGGACGAAAGGAGATATGTAACTATTCGCGAATAGTGTTATTTGTAGTATAATTTAAGGACACTGGATATAAAAGAGTCCTGGCTTACGCCAGCGAACCATGACAGGTGTTTGACGTCCCATCGAAGAAAGGTTTGCTTTTCACATTTTAAATTTCCCTTCGGGAATTCTCAACAAGTGGTTTTGAGTTTTCTTCTTTCGCGTGCGTTGTTATAAGAGAAATTAGTTTCTCCAAGAACCTTGACAATCGTTCGATAAACCGAAACAAATGGAGATAAGAAAATATTCGCAAGCAATGGTGTATTTTCGATTAGAAAGTTTAAATTGCATCCGATATTATTTTGAACATTGTTTAAGGTCCCGGCATCGCCGTAATTCGAACTCGCGACGAAAAAGTTTCACGATCAAAATTAGTTCGAGAGCGTCGCAAATTAATTTACCGATCTTGCAAAAACAGTGACAAATCGAAACGTACCGGCTACCAAGTTCATTTCGTCAAAGTTACATCGAGTTTGTTAGCCCACCTGACATTCGACACGTTGCAACTGTTTTTAACGTTGCATCGGCGAAGTTCTCATGATTTTTTAATGAACGGGGCACGGCGTACCACAGAAAACCACTGCGAGAAAGTTATTTTTTCGTCAAACCTTTGAAACGCTAACAACCTGATACGTTTGGTGTACAGAAACAGAAAAACAGCAG